CATAATCCCGAAGATTCCACATTTATTATTCCATGGGTCCCCCACCTCCGTTTTCTTCCAGCTGTCCGTTCAGGGGTCGAACTTTTCTTTCTCTTTTGACGCCCAGAGTATTCCACATGGGGCCAGTATCTTTGGGTTTTCTTCCCACCCAGCGATAACTCACCCTTATTTCTTTCTGCTTGGAAAAACCCATAATCATGTTTACTTGTTGCCTTCCTTCGTCCCAGTCTCTCATTACCCGCTTTCTTTAAAACTCTCTGTGATTCTTGAGGGCCCCATGACCGCCATGGAGAAGCTAGAAAGCCCCTGGCCATCTTTCAAAAGACACATCAGGAAATTCTGAACATGTTTTGAAACTCCTACTAATTCTATGGGATTACAGAGGTTTATAACCTGCATTCCACATTTTTCCCTTGGTATTCTCACAGACTTCTGAAATGTCAAAGGGACTGGATTTCTATTTATCCCAATATTAAACATGTATGAAAACGGAGGGCGCAGAATTAAGAGGGGGTGGGGGGAGGCAGCAGGAAGGGAAACATTCTTTCAGGCTAACACATCATTTAGCATCCAAAAGGAACACCAGCAGCTGCGGAGCATCACCTCTGGATGTGGGTCTCAGGACAGAAGTCTGTCAGGCAGTGGAGCCTTTGCTTAACTGGAAACATTTTACATCAGGCCTCCTGTAAAATGTAGCTAGAGCTAAAAGTATGTTGACCCAAAACATATTTTCATCCAATCTTGGAAATGAGTCATCCAGGAAAAAGAGAAGCTTCGCTTTCTAGGACTAAAGCAGGAAGAGAGAACAGGCAGAGGGCCTCCGAGTCAGACTTCGGGCTTCCAAGTGGCCCAGTGGGGAAAAGCTGAAGGAAGATTGATTTTCTCCGGCTGGTGTCGGCGTCACCCCGGGTGACACGCGATCCCACCGTTTAGAGTTGACTTTTTCAGCTGAATGTTTTCACTTCATGCAAGTCTCTTAAAAATGCTCCCAAGGCGTGCTGCACCATATGGTGATTTGAAGAGGGGAAGAAATACACCCAATGATTTAGACAAGGCTGAATGTCGGCTGGAAAAATAATGCCAGCAAGATAGAAATGAGAACTAGGCTAAGTGACCTCATAGCATTGCTTTGTTCTTGGATGATTAAGGAAACTTGGAAGAGGAAAGAAAAGGCCATGTATCTAAAGCTATGCAGATTCCATCATACTTTTTGTTCTGTGTTTACTTTTGATCTTCAAGACACTGCAACTGACAAGTAATTAGAGAGCTGTTAGTTTGATGTCCTCATCTGATATCTTTCCTCAATCTTTGTTGATCTCAGAATTAAGATCAGGGTTCTTCCTTTGAACTTTAATGTAAATATTATGGTTCTAGTCCCCAAACAGAAGGCTCAGCCCCGAGGGCTCCGTCAGAAAGGGGCTGTGGTCAGACTGGCTCCACATCTTGAACGAAACCCTCACGCTCTCTCAACCGGCAGGATTTTATATCTAAAGTCATCACTGCGTTTTCTCCTTGACTCGAACATGTCTCCACCTGCAAAGTGTGCGACTATTGTGAAAGCTGGAGAAAAGCTCAGGAAAGGAGGAACACGGAACGGGGCAGAGCTGTGAGCCCAGGAAGTCGCTCGCACACCGCGGGTCAAGATACGCCACTAAAAATCCTCCCAAGAGTCGTTGAGCTAAGCTAGCTGTAAATGAAAAGCTTTTCGAAATAGAATCCCATCCTAGCAGAGCTCTGAAAAGTCTTCAAGGCTCTGAAGATCACCCAACTCTTCAGCTTAGGCTTGGAGATGAAGAATCAGAACCTACACGCAGGGACTGGCAAACCAGCCGGGCCCGCTGCACGTTCACGCTTTTAACCGTGACTTTTTTGTTTCAAGATTCTTATTTTTCTCTTGTAACCTCCGTCTTCCTCTCTTCCTCTGCTTGCTTACTCCGTCCCCGCCTTCATCTGGCCCCATTTCCTTTATCATCAGCCTAGCCCGCACCCGTAGGCCCCACAGAACCTGCCCAGGAAGGCCCTTCAGGAGCCACCGGACCCTCAGATTCCTATCTTAGGAGGAGATCTCTGTTCAAAAGGATCTCCAGCCCCACCCTGGAGTCTCGCTGAAGGGGGAGAAGGTGGAGGGGGTTGAATATTTTTATAAGATGAAAAACCCTATTGAGCTTTAAATTGGATGGCCGTTTAAATGCTTTCGATTTGAAAATCAACCTAAAGGAATTTTAATGAAACAACGAATGCATAGAAAGCATCCACCATGGTGAAATGGAAAGAGCCCCAAGGAATAAAGATTATATTATTTGGGGCAACATTTTAAGGAAAGTTTCATAAACAGTTGTGTTAGGGGCCTAAATTCCTAGGAGTCTCAGAAAACCTATCTCTAGATTTCTGAGATTAAAACAAAAGACTCCTAATTCCTAATCGCTGTGGGGTTCTGTGAACAGCCAAGGACAGCCTTGTTCAGTGCACTTCCTCAGCTCCTGGACCCCGTCTATAAGGAAGTGCTTGATTGAAGAGGGCAGGGCGAGGGGAGATCAGACTCCCAAGCAAGCTTGAGAACACAGTGTCTTGCCTTGTCTTAAGCACAGTTTCAAGAAGATAAATCAGCAGAGGATTTGGGAAGTAGAGGAGATCAAATCAGCCTTTTAAGTGACTTAGGTTGACCTAGCCAAAAGGGTTTAATTTAAAATATATTGTAGAAAAATAACCAGTACATTTCACATTCGTATATGTAATTTTTAAAATTTCACACATATGCCCATAATTAGAATTGTGAAACTAGAGAAAAGTTGGCCTCCCAGTCATGTCACACAGGTCTGCCTCAATTCGATTTGGTGGACGCATAAGCCAATTATCACTCAATTTTTTGAGAGCTGCAGAATGAATCCCAAAAGAGGCTCAAGTGAGGGGCCAGCCCCGTGGTATAGTAGTTAAGTTCAGCACACTCTGCTTCAGTGGCCCAGGGTTCGTGGGTTCGGATCCAGGGCACAGACATACACCATTCATCAGCCATGCTGTGGCAACACCCCACATATAAAGTGGAGGAAGATTGGCACAGATGTTAGCTCAGGGCTAATCTTCCTAACCAAAAGAAAAAAAAAACAGCCCAAGTGAATGCTCCTCTGGAAAACTGAAGTGCAAAATTGTTCTAAGTTGTGGCTCTTACATTTTAAGATTATACTAAACTAAACACATCAGGCTGCTTTTTTTTTTTTGAAGGGAAAAAATCCTGATTAAATCAAATCTTACTCTCGGTTAATTCTAGTTAATTTTAACATGGCTTACACGGCTTAAGTAAAATTTAAATCAAATTATTTCAAAGAAGAGAATCGATTAAGAGGAAGTGGTAATGGCCATAATCAACCTTTGAAAAACAACTAGGTAATTCCTGCAAAGAAAAGATTCAAAGGGCTTTTAAGTTGCAAAAAGACAGTCATAGAAACATTGGATCCAAATTGTCCAACCCAGGGGCAAGAAAGCCCACAAGACAGGGGACCTACCTTCCTTCCAGCACCTTCCCTTCCCTCCTCCAGCCTACTCTGCATGGAAAAATGAGGACATGCAGATTCTGCTCAAGAAATTACACTTCCCAGTTGGTATAACAGCTCCTTCGATGAGGACGTGAGGTAGGGCTCTTTGGTTTGAGCCGGTCTTGAGAGAACTGGGAGGCACACGAAAAGTTCTAACAAAGGGAAGTCCAATTATCGGAGTCTCCTTGCGGGCAGTTTTGGGAAATTTGGTTTCTGACATGGCCCAGTTTGACCCAAGGAGCTGAAAGGCTGCTTGGGTACCAATCCAGAGGTTGTCACGCTGAGAGGTGATGACTCTGAGGCATTTGAATAAAGTGGATCCTAGCATCCAAAGAGGCATTCCCACTCAGGGGAGCTGTGGCTCTAATTCACGTGCTGCCTTTCTTCACCTGATTTGTCCAGGTCGCCTCTAAGAGGGTTTATTATGCGGCCAGTCTGTGAGCTACTTATAAACGCATCCCCTGTTTCCAGCGATTGGTTCTTCCAGAATCTTCTGAGCAAACGTCTCAGCAATACAAAGGCCTGTGCTTTTCAACACTGTCTATTCCACAGTCCATTTCTAGGTTTATAAAAGGTCATTTAGGGCTATCACTTGAGGAGAGAGAACAGACGGAAAGAAGCAGAATGGGTGATGCTGAATTGGGATATGGAAATGACCGCCGGTGGACCGCGCTGTGCTGGGACTGCCGGCCTCAGTCTAGACGATGTGCGGTGGAAGTGAATCATTCTAACTTCTACTGTCACGTACATCCAGCCTTCACACAGCCTGTCCTCTGACTGTCTCTGCTGCTGTTAGGGCAACTCTGTCCCTGCCACCATCACGTTTTCCAAAGACAAGTGACAGGTCGCCCTGCCAGGGAACCTAAAAACAATCTCCTTTCCTCCATTCCTCACTCCCCACCAGGACACTCCTTTGTCTGAGGCCACAGATGCCGGAAACAAGGACCAGAAAGACATCCGGCAGGCATTTCGACATCTGCCGTGTTTAATGCTGCTGTATTTGGCTCTCAGGACAACTAAGATGCAACAGTGAAACAATTTGATAAAAAGAAAATTCTTTGAATTGTCCAAGAATCTTCAAACAATATATTCTTTAAAATATTTCGGAGAAAAAGATGGGTTTCCTCTTAACTGTTAATCTTCTAATAATGGGTGTCTCCATCACGACCCGTCCATGGTGCTTCCTCGCCCAGCCAAGGGGTCTCGAGTCCCTCAGCCCGTTGCCTGTTACTGGTTGGGAGCCAAGTGTGATTCCAAAGCATCTAACTGGCCATTTGAAGGATATGTTTTAGAGAGTTTTGCGATGGTTTTCAGTATTTGCCAAACAAAATTTCCTTCTTAGGTACGAAAGTTAAATTCACAAAATTCTATCAATCCTTCTCTTTTCTCCTAAAATAAAGTCTTTTTCAAGCAACTGAGGTGGAAGAAATTACTTGCAGTTGAGGTGGGAAAAGAAAGAAAAGAAAGGAGTAAAAGATAATGCTAACATCTGGGTGTAAAAATGATGCCCTGAGATTCTGCCAACAGCAACCACGTTCACAGACAAAAACTGAATTCTTCTAAAGAATGTGCTACGGAGTGAATTCGCTTATGGAGCTTGAATTATGAACCAATTAGGACTCACTCTATCCTGGAACTTCCTTCTGATTGGTCGAGACTTCTAAATTATCCCCTTGTGGGGATTTCTCTCTGCATCATCCTCATTGTACTACAGGGCTTGGATAAAGATTATATTAAAAAGAGAAGGTAAGTTGCCTTCCTCCTATACGGCTAAGATAAGGGCAACATCTCCGAACCAAGTTATTTTCTACTATTTTTATGATGTTTTATGGTTAATCCAGATAAAAATAATCCCTATAAAAGTTCAGCTTCATCTGAATTTATAGAGAAACCAAAGTTTGAATAAATCCAAAGAACATGTAACCAGCAAACATTTATTTGGGGTTGTAAAATTCATTTTATGGTCACTTTACAATATTTTTACCTTTCTGATTATGTTTAAATTATTATTAAAATTAATTTTCATTTGCAAAATCATTATTAAATATTGGCGGTAAAAAGAGGTGATCTAGAAGTATTGTCTGGGCATTAGAAATAGATCATGGGTAATTTTCAAAGCCAATAATACAGAAATAAAGAACTAAGAATTAACAACACAACGCTTCAAGGATAATCTTGCTTTTTTTAAAAAAAGAAAAAAGTCCTACCAATCAGCTTGATGTTATTGTCTTCATCTAGCAGCAAATTTTCTATCTTCAAGTCTCTGAAATAAACAAAACCACACGACATCTCAGACAGGCGTTTGAAACAGTAGAATCACATTTTGCTTCTGAAGGGAAACAAACGGTTTTAGAGCCACTTTGAACCAACCCATAAAGCTTCCTGCCAAAACGCGAGCAATCAATAAGTCAATATTTATAACACATGATATAATTAATTGCCCCAGGCTTAAAAAGCTGAAGGATTTCAGAGAAGATGGAGAGCAAGGAGGGCACAAAGTTTCCAAATCATGAGAAGTTTCCAGAAGAAGTGGGACCAAAGCTGGACCCTGGGAGTTAACAGAACTGGGGTTGGGAGAGAAGGGAACTCATTGCTGAGGCAGGAGCTGCCCCAACAGTCGGAGAAATACAAATGTGGCCACGTGTTTGGGAGACGGTGAGGAACTCGGGCGAGAGGAGGGAACAGCTTAGGGGAAGCAGTTTAAAAAAAAATTGAAAGCTGGCATAACTGATCGGTCCCACAATCTCCATGCCTGAAGCCCAAGCATCATCCACAAGTTGGCAGGTGATAATAAATTAATCTATCAAGCAAGCAGAAATTATGGTGGGCAGAAAAATAGACCCCAATGACGTAAACACCCTAATTCCTGACATTATGCCTGAGTATATGTTAATGTTACATGACCAAAGGGAATTAAGTTTGCAGATGCAATGAAGATTGCTAATCAGATAATGGAGGACTGATCACGGACACTGAGGTAACTGAGGAGGTGGGAGGGAGAAATGCATTTGGGCTCACGCTGGGTGTGAGGTGCCTGTGGTATCTGTTCTAGCCAACTGGAAGCTCCTTGAAGGCAGGAAACATGTCTGCCTTGCTTACTGCTGTACCCCAGGACCTTTGCACATTCCAGGTACTCAGTAAATACCAATGAATCTACATTACCAGAGAGACGTTTTTGGATTTCAGAAGAAAAAAAATGTGGGCAAAAGTATATATTTGGTCATCAAACCCATCTAGGCCCAGCTTTTGTCTTCCCACTTTTGAATAGAGACCTGAGCAAAAGAAATGTTTTTCTCCTCTTATCTCAACTGTAAGGAATAGAATTGCATAATCATGATGAACAAAACTGGCAACTGATGACACCAAGGCGAAGTCATGAGACAGAAGGGAGGAGTTGCAAGGACTGTGGTAAACAGGAGAGCACTGTCCCACTCCACGAGGACACTCGCTTACAGCTCGGTCCCAGCACTGCCAGCTCATCCCGTTCTCCCAGAAGCCAGACATCTGGATTTGATCCCGATTTTCAAATGTTGGCAACAAATTCACATTTAAAACAACAATAACAACCACAATGGCGGACCAATCTCTCAGGCAAGCTATAGTCTGCAGACCACTGTCAACCTCAATGCGGTGGCAGCTGAGCCTTGAAAGGACAGGAGATCCCTCAGGGAGAGGAGAGAGAATGAGGGGGATAAAGACCAAGGATGACACGCTGGTGGGGGACCCGACACCAGAGCCACAGGGAAGGAACAGTGGGGGAAGCTGTTGTCATAGGAACGACGAAGGACAGCCTTTCAGGATGGGAAGAAGAGTTAGGGAGTCAAGTGGAGAAGAAAGGTGCCCTTTAAATAGTGACCCACGGATTTCAAGATCGGAAGGTGGCCGGTAGCCTCAGGGCCGGACACTTGGATGAGAAGGGAGATTATGCTGGGGAATATAAATAGATATTCCCCAGTCCACACGCACCCACCTGTGGAAGGAACTGCACCCCTCCACACCAATTCAAATGAAACAATACAGAGCATTTAAAAACTGTGCCAGCCTATGAAAGGGATCACCCATGTCCATATGCAGGGTGACCCCAAATACAACGTGCCCCCCACTTTTGCAATGGGAAGATCCTGCCCCTCAGAAAAATGTTTTTAGACACAAATATATAATTTTTAGAAATGCAATGGAATTATCAAGTGGCTATGTATACTTCTTATCTGTGAAGCTGCACCATCATATTTAAGAGCATATACTAGCATGTTAATAGAATTAATTTCAGAAATATTGTTCCTACAGCCTCACCTGTTATGAAACGATTTTATTGAAACTTGTCACAGGCAGAACCAAGAGGACCGAGTCATCATACGGTGTTTCCAGTGTAACATGATGTTTAAGTTGACTGGACGTTGGAGATAAAATGCTTTTTGGGATCTGTGTATGATGAACTTGCTGGAAATATTATGCAAAGCCATCTAAATAACAAGCGCCCACTTCAAATCGCTATAAATTAAGCACTGAATGAATTGGTTTTTTAGAGGGCTCTCATGAGCCCTCACAATTGTGAGCTCATATCCCCTGAGGTTATTATTAAAGCCATGTAAAACATCTTTGCCTCCCTTTCTTCGTGGGACTTCAAGAGTTCCCAAAGCCATCCATGAGTCAGGTCAAGGTGAATGCGTCTTCTCCCACGAGTACTTTGCTGTTGAAAATAAACTAATTGAGACTGTGCCCCCATAATAGGAGAGACTTGGCCAAGACTCTGTAAGGTACTTCCTCTGTGCTGAAGATAATTAGGACACAATATAATGCTGCCCTTATATTCAAGCACATACGGTAAATCCAAAACACGTGCGTGCACACCCAAAACTGTGTGCCAGCAACAGCCCAAACTGTGATTCTGTGAAAACTGATTATGAAGCAGTGGCACTGTTTAAATCGAAAGGAAGGCCACAGTTTGTTTCCAGCAAAATTAAAACTCTTTCCTGGAGAAGAATAGAAGCCACGCTAAGGCATTAAAGGAGAAATTTGGATTCAGAACAAATACTATGGAGAAAAACAGCTTCCAGAAGGGAGGTCAAAGAAAGCAATTGTCAAGAAGAAGAAAGCTAAGCTGGATAATTCTGGGGCCACAAAAGCCTCCAGAACAGCCACAATAATTAAAAGAACGATATAAATGGGAGACTAAAAATAAGAGAAAATGCAAAAGAAAAAAGACCCACTTTTAAAATCAGGAAATAGCACAAAACCTGGAGAGGAAGTATAAAAATGTAACTATGAGGCAAAATGAGAAAAATCAAATTGGTTAAAAGTCACTGTCTTCCCACCCACTGCATCCCACAGTAACCCACCCCAGGGCCCAAGAAAAATGCTCAGAACGAACCTGGTCAACCGGGGTTGTTCAGAAATATGTTACCTTTCTGTGAAGGTTTCTGAAAGTTTTCAGGGCTAACCAATCTTACTGCCTACAGGTTCCATGACTAGTTAATGGAAAGATGAGCTACATTAGTCTCTGTCCAGGAGAGCTGGGTACCTCATCCTGCGAAATGAGGGGAACATTTGACCTCTTTTGGCTTCATTTATTTCCACCTCCTGCTTTGCCTTTTGAGACTTAACTAGAAGGAGGAGGAACATACTTTCCTTCTGACTCTTGAGGAAAAAAGGCTCTAAAATCATATTTTTAAAAGTAGCGTTTGCCTGGATCTTTACCCAAATGAGCTGCAGATTTGTAGACACAAAAGTTTACAGCAGCTTTATTCATAATTGCCAAAACTTGGAAGCAGCCAAGACGTCCTTCCGTAGGTGAATGGATAAACTGTGGTACCTCTGGACCGTGGAATATTATTGAGTGATAAGGAGAAATGAGCTATCAAGTCATGAAAAGCCATGGAGGAACCTTAAATGCAAGTTTCCAAGTGAAAGAAGGCAGTTTGAACAGGCAACATACTGCATGATTCCAATTATATGACGTTCTGGAAAAGGCAGAACTATAGAGACAGTGGTTGCCAGAGGTTTGGGGAGGATAAATAGGTGGGGCACACTTTTTCAGGGTGGTGAAACTATTCTTTATGATATGTAATGGTGGCTACATGACCTCAAGCATTTGTAAGCATTTGTCAAAATCCACAAAACTCCAGAACACAAAAGAATGAGCCCTAATGTAGACTATAGACCTTAGTTAACAACAGTGTATCAATATTGGTTCATCAATTGCAACAAATGTGCTACACTATGGCAAGGTATTAATAATAGGGAAAACAATGTGCAAGGGGGGTGGGGAAGTATGTGGAAATTCTGTAGTTTCTGCACAATTTGTCCGTAAACCTAAAACTGCTTTAAAAAATAAAGTCTATTAAATTTTTTAAAGTAGCTTTTGGATATTTTCCCCTTTCCTAACAGATGAGTACTAGTTACAGCTACAACCAAGTACCTCACTCAGAATGTTCACTGTGGAGCATCCTTACCACCTAAAGTTAATTATGAGTCCATCAGCACAGTGGGCCACTCAGACCCTCTGCCCAGCTACTCAACAATTACCAAAGAGGTCACAAATGATTCAGAGACCACAAAATTGAGAGACACCTTCTTGAATAATAAAAGGATGAATTTATTCATAAGGTTTTACTGTTGGTGTATTACAATGTATCTTTTAAAAAACTATGAGCAGGTCTCTATTATCCAGAAAACCTCCCCATGGTCCTTGTGAAAAGCATGGTGTTTATTCCACTTCCATCCCCAAGAGGAAAATACTTGGCTCTCAGTGTCAGGTCTGTGGTCTGGGAGGGAAGGTTCTGAGAGCTGACTGGTCTGTGCTTGATGATGGAGGGGATGGTCAATTTCACGTCAATGCTCCTGGATGGGATTAATCACTTTATGGAAGGGAGAGAAATGGGAGGTTCTTCTGTGGCCTCGGGGCGGGTGTGAGGAGTCCGCTCTGTAGCAGGGAAATTGGAAGTTCAGTGTGAACTTGTAACTGAGAACAAAAGCGAAGAAGAAAACGGCCCCTGGAGGGACGGGAAATCGGTTTTCCTTGGCCAAAGGGGCTTCAAAGAGGAGTTAGGACAAGCAAGGAGGGATGGGGCGCGCCCCAATTTAAGGGAGAGCGGAGGACCAGGTTACTAGGACAGTGCTCAGGGGGAAACAGTGTCCTGGAAACAAAGGAAAGTACCGGAAGAGGAGAAGCCAGTGGAGGGCCCTCCGGCAAAGCCAGAGTTAGGAGCCCAGGCCAGGAGAGGCCACCCAGGGCGCAGGCACAGAGGCTTCTGGACCCTTCTC